GAAGCCTCTGAAGGTTTTTTTGAACTATAATGACATGGTATGGCAGAACTGCAATCTTGGTGTGCCAGAGATATATGAAGGAGTATGAGAGAAGAAAGAGTTTGCCAGAGTGAGCCCCACCAAACAGACAGCAAAAGAAGGCATTCAGGAGAACAGCATATATAAAGGCATGGGAAGGAAACGTATTGGTTACAGCCCCATCTCAAGTACTTTATCATGGATAGCAATAGAAAATATATAGGAAATATAAGAAAAGCAGTAGGTGAGGCAGAAAAGGCAGACTTTTTTTTTTTTTTTTTTTCTGTACGCGGGCCTCTCACTGTTGTGGCCTCTCCCGTTGCAGAGCACAGGCTCCGGACGCGCAGGCTCAGCGGCCATGACTCACGGGCCCAGCCGCTCCACGGCATGTGGGATCCTCCCGGACCGGGGTACGAACCCGTGTCTCCTGCATTGGCAGGCGGACTCTCAACCACTGCGCCACCAGGGAAGCCCAAGGCAGACCTTTTTATGAAATTATGTGAGGCATGCTAAGGACCTTTAATTTTATCCTGAATACAATGGGATGATTTGCCAGGAAAGTAACACAAAAAGGTTTCAGAAAGATCAATCCATAAGTTCACTGGGGAGGGAAGATACAGGGAAACCAGGTGCACTATCACACCTGTATAGGAGACAGTGATAGGGGCCTAAACTAGGGCAGGGTGGTAAGGTTGGTAACAAAGGTAAAAATATGAGGGCTCATCAGATGACTAACACAGAAAAGTGAAGGAAGGGAAGAAGGGAGTCAAAGTCAAGGATAAGGTTTGAAGCTTGAACAGTTAGGTAGTATTTCTTACCAACAAAGGTTCCAGAGAGAGAAGCAAGTTTGGTAGTGCTAGATGAATTTACAAATGAGAAGATATTTATTTATCCCTAGTATTAGAAATTGAAGCCTAAAGTTTAAGTGTTAAGGCCAAAGATATGGGTTCTTATTTTTCAGTGAAACCAATGAACTGGCTTCTTACTAATAAGTAAACTTTGCAAAAGTGAAAAAATAGAAGGTAAATAAATCAAATGATAAATAGGATGACAAAAGTTTTTATTTGCAAGGTTTTATATCAAAATAGGAATTTCCCTGATATAGTCAAGATTTATTAAATATTTTCCCCATTAATTAACCTTCAGATGTGCATCCATACAAGCCAAGTCTTAGGCTCCACTCAGTGAAGAGACAGTAAAGCACAGTGAGCACGAGTTCTGGCTTTAGTGTCATGCTGCTGCACTTTAAGTCTAGGCTCTGCCACTTAAACCACCTAGGACTTGGGGCTAGTAAGTTCAGAACCGCAGGCTTCAAGTTTCCTTGGAAGTATTTGTGGATAATAATACATACATACTTTATAGGACTGTGAAGACTAGATAAATAATCCATATAAAGTACTTGGTACAGGTTGACTGTAAACATTCAGTAAGTGTTAAGAATCTTCAAATAATTATTAGTTGTCACTGATGAAAATGTCATGTCATATCTTTGAAGTGTACAGGAGCAAGAAAAACTTGACCTGGATGGCAGTTACCTGCATGTTTGATTTTTAAGTATTTACTAAATGGAACTATGTATTTCCTAGTTGTAGCTACAAAATCCATTCACCCTACCCAAGCCTTGAACTGCTGTCCATGATAATTACTCCCTCCCCTACCTCCATCTATAAACCTCAGGATAAGCATTATCCCTTTTCTCTCCTGTGAGCTTCACACAGAAGAGGAAGAGAACAAGGGAAGAGGAGGAGGTTCAAATCCTCATTCCATGTTAGGACCATCCCCGATCTCAATTTTGGGGAAAATTCCTCCTTACATACGGGATAACAGTACCATTCCTCCAGAATTAATTCTAGATATTACTGCCAGTCACCTCTTTTCCATTCCTGTAATCATGCTACACCTCCTAACTCTACTCTAGAATAAATTCCTTCAGATCTCTATATCAAGAAGTTTCCAAGCAACTCTTTACCACAAAAATATTCTCAGACCACCACAAGCCACCTGGAAGTCTCATCTCTTCACTCCTTAATCTAATCTCTTCTTTTTCACCTGGATCTTTATTCACTAATTTCTCACGTGCCCTGTTCAAGTTTAGTCCATACTTTCTATAAAATTCACCAACCTTTCTTCTATGAAGCTATTCCCAACTGAATGACTATGAAACTACTTTCTTCCTGAACCCTCTCCCTACTCACAATTCCCTAGCGTAACCCCACACTTTTATTTTCTTTAGAAAATATGTATTTTATTCTTGCACCTAGCATCTTATTTGTGTATCAGCTGGCTATATAATTTATAATATCTTTTATCTATCCTATGTGTGAAAAAGTAGGAATGCTATCTCATCAAAGTACATCTCACTGTTTTTGAAATAGCCTGATAATCACTGCTATTTAGTCACAGAGCTAAGCTGCAACATAAGTTTCTAGTGTAATATAGTTTCTAAAATGGGTAAGACTAAACTAGATATGGTGTCTAGTCTCAGTTATACCAAATTCTACAATAAAGTCACTTGATCAGATTTGATCCCAGTTCATCCTTTAGTCACATTTCTAGCATCCCTCTCTCTCAGCAGTCCTACTACAGCAGTAACTGAAGAGTCCTACATTCTCAGGACTCTTCAATTACCACTCCCTGATGTCTGGAATGCCCCTTCCTTGCTCTCTCCCTCTCCCAGGCGAACTTTCTTTCATCCAGGATCAGCTCACTCCCATTCATCCACTAGGAATCAACCAGAACATCTCCCTTGACTGCTCAGCTCCAAGTCAGAATTTTCTCACACATTCTCAGAATACACTTACTGATGTATTGCATTGTAATTATCAGTTTACTTTCCTACACTCCTACAGAACTGTAAAGGTAAACTCCTTGAAGTACAGACTGAACAATGTTAGATACCCAATAGATAATTAATGAATGAATGCTCATACCCACTCCATGACCTTGTGCAGGCTACACACAGTCTTGAGTTTCCTCATCTAAAGTACTTTCCTCCTGTAAAGTGTGGATAATGCTAAACCTAGCTCATAAAGTTGTCACAGGATTAAAAGAGGTATCATGAAGCTCTTAGTATAGTGTCTGACACATGGAACTACCATTTGAATGTCTGCTATTTCATGCCTTAGTTACCCTCCTGAATCCTGGGAATTGTAATGTCACCAATATTTTCAGGCTGAAAGGCTTAGCAAGCATGCATCCAGAAGGCACTGGTTACATTCTGATTATCAGCAGATATTTACTGTGTGCCTATTATGTGCAGAAGTCCTTACTATGTATCACTGAGCTGCCAGAAACAATAGGGGCAAAAAATAAGACAAAAACTTGTACCAGTATCCAAGAGAGGAAAGACTGTTAATTAGTTCTTCTGTACAAACAATACAGGTATTTTTTCAAACTACATTAACTTTTGTTTTATAATAGGGGTTAGCTTCAAGAACAAATACTGATGGGCAAAATTCAAACTTAACTCCTATCATCAAGTGGACCAAAAACAAGAGGCAGTTACAAAATTTCTTGTTGCTATTCCTAGGTTTCACTTTTGCTTATAAGTATCAATATTTCTCACAAAAGAAATTTAACCACGACCAGGACAGAGATAGATGAACTTTATTTGTCTCAATCAAATGGGAATTCCATAATATTTCCTAATTGGTATGTAATTTTATAGCTCCAAAAAATGGCCTGTGTTTTCTCTATTTTTCTACAAAACAGAACGCTGACTGGCATTATTTTCCCTCACCACCTTCTCTCTTTAGGACAGGATAAAATGCACACTTCTTAGTCACAATGGTCCCTTAGCAAGAATGACAAAACTGCAAATCATGTCACCTAGTATTAGAAGAGGAGGCTGTGGACTTGAAACACTTTCCCCCTAACATATCCAGAGGTGAGAGTCCCAGTGAAGTTTGTGCATTAAACTACACTGCTTTTGGTAGCTGCAGAGAGACCTCTAGCGCTGCCTGGATAAGCCGAGTTTGCAAACAGTACCTGCTAATGTCACCTTAATGAGACAATGGCAACACGCAGAGTAGCAACAGAGTGACCACGATGAATGTTTACAGTTTTGCAATCATTTGGAAATTCTACCAGTTTGGAGCAAGAAATATATACAAGGCCGTATGAACGTACGTATCCAATTTATTTCAGTAAAACGTGTCAAAGAAATGATCACCCTATGCACACCCCCACTACAAGAAAAGGCTCAGAAAACAGGTCCTGTGCGCGGAGATCGGAACAACGTCTCTTCCAAAGCCTCCACACAATAGATGGTAAACTATTGTCCACCTTCAGCTTGCTCCAAATGCCAGCAGTAAGGAGAGTATGAGCTGGAAAAGCTCAGCACGACTGCTCCAGAGAACCGCACCGGAATATTAGAAAACGGTCCTGGCGCATCCTACCCTCCCCCATCCACCACCCTCCGACAAGTCAGTTACCCGGCTGGTCCCCACCCCCCTCTGCGGGCCGCCACCGCCCGCCTGGGCCCGGCTCGCAGAAGGTAGGCGCGGGGACCGGCAGAGTCGAGGCTCCATGTGCGGCAGCGCGGGAGGCACTGAGGGGGCTGCGCCGGGCGGAAGGCTGCATGGGGAGCGGGCGTGAGCCGCGGCCGCCCCCTCGGTGGGGCGGTCGACAGATCCGGGCGGCAGCATCACCGGCCCGCGAGGCCCCGGCCCGCGGACCCCGCCTCAGCTCCACACCTCTTCCTCGCCGACAGCAGGCCGCGCCCGCGTGACGGGGCCGAAAACCCCGGTATTTCCAGGTCTCTGCGCCGGCAGCTCCGAGGGGCGGCTGCAGCCCGGCCCGCGTCCCGCCGCCCGCTCCGCCCAGCCCCTAGCCGCGATGACGAGAGGCGGCGGCCAACTCCGACCCACCGCGAGCCGGCAAGAACCAGCCCGGCGCCGGCCCCCCGCCCCTCCCTGCCGCCTCGGGGCCGGCGCGGCCAGGCGGGCGAGCCGGGCGGGCCCCAGCCGCGGAAGCACACTCACCTCTACATCTCGGCCCTTATTCTTAAAGCTCTTGATGCGGTGGTTCTCTAAGCCGGGGTTCTCGGCCATGGCTGCGCGCTGCTCCGGCGGCGGCTACTCCGGCGGCTGCGGCGGCGAGTCTCGGCGCGGGAGGGGGAGGTGGGGGAGGGCCGGAGGGAAGGGAGGGGGAGGGGGAGAGGAGAGCACGTTCCGTGACGCCTCCGAGCGCGAGGTGGCAGCAGCGCCGGGGGAGGCTCAGGCGGACAGACGGGAGGGGCGGGGCGGGAACAGCGCTGAGGAACCGCGGGCGCCTGGAGAGCCTTGAGTCACGTGACGCAGGCGGCCTCCGGCCTGGATGCTAGCCGGCTGGATGTGCCGATGGTTCTCGGGATGACCCCCACCAACGCCCGCCCCCCAGCAAGGACTCCCCACAACCCCTCAGAGCTGCAAGTCATGCGCCAGCAATGGAGCCAGACTTACCCGCTTTTACTGCCCCCGAGACACGGAGCTGCGGCAGGAAACTACGGTTCCCAGCATGCCATTCTTCGGCGGGGATAACTCTCCCGAACCAGGAGAATGTCGGGAACCCTAAGCGCGCGGCTTTCTGCGCGCTGCGCTTTGAGCGCCTGGGCGCGAGGCTCCGCCCCCAAGGCCGCCTCTGGGCGGGGCGGGGTGGGAGGAGCTTCCCCGGAGTTGGTACTTTGCGCCCCATTGACAGGGAGGGGGCGGGGCTTCCTGGGAGGCGCACCTCTCTCCCCGTAGCCTAGAAAATTAGAAACGAATCCATGGTTCGTGCTTTGTTCCCTTGCTTCTTTGGGTCGAGGTGGGGGTGGGGGTGGTGGGGTGGGGGGAGTCTCCTGAAATAGCAGCCACCCTCATTCGCTGTTCCCTTGCTCTGCTTTGGTTTTATAATTAGCATTTATTTCCACCTGACATGTACATATGTATGTATGTGATATATGTGTTTATGTGTGTGTGTTACCTGGCTTACTTCATCGGAATTAGCTCAGTTAAAGTAGGGACATTGGTAGGTCTACTGCTGAAACCCTCGGTTAATACAGTGCCTGGCACGTCGTGAATAATCAATAAATACCTGAACAGATTAGCGCTCTAGGGTCTGTTTCTTCATCATCCTCCCAAGCCCCGTTCTGCAGCCTCCACTCTGGCAGTTCCTGCATTTATGTACCCTCAATACCTCCGTTCTGCCACCACACATAATCTTCTCAGCCTTCAGGAAGTAGTCAAGCCCTGATCCGCAGACTCTCCAGTCTAGCATCTCCTTTTAGGGTCATCGTAGGAATGATCACGGGAAATTGGATCCATAACGCTAATAGTTGCTTTCTGGAGCAGGTGGGCTTCTCTGAATGTACGTGAAATAATTTAGTTTCAGAATCTCTGGCAGATACAAGTGATCTTATTACAGTTCAAATGACACTGAGGTCATTCAAAGGTTGGGAGAAATATAACCATGAAGAGATTGAAGAAGATATTCTTTCAAAGCAAAGGGGACTTAGAGAGCCCGAGGTCCAGGGGTCATGAATTAAGAGGCCTTTGCTGCCCTGGCTATGTCTGGGCCACTTTTGTGAGTGGTGGGTGGTGGCTTGTTGATAAACACAGGCTCATTTAAAGGCTTCAGACCATTGTTGCCATATTGGACCGTGGGCCGGTCTTGACAAAGGTCCCATTTTTCAAGGGAAAACAAAAAGCTGGGTTCTTTTTTCTTCATTTTTAAATGTCGATTTATATTTTTTACTGGACTTTAGGGTATCAGTCACTTAAGAACTCCAGGCCCTCACATTGTGTGATCCTGGTCCAAACACTCAGTTGATGGGGAGAAAAAACACCTAAAGGTTAGAATGAATAAATAGATTACTTCAACTCTAGTTCTTAAGGCGATAGAAGTTGCATGTTTGCCACTCCTCCTGACTGACTGAAGAGAAACTTCCAGACTGTTGCTCAATCTCCATTACAATTTAACAAGAACTTCTCTTTTCAGATTATTTTACCCCTTTGTACCTCTTCTCTTCACCCACTTGCTATCACCAATCATGTAAGTTACCATTTTAGAATTTTAGACATATTTAGTGAGCACTTACCATGGGCTAGTCGTACTAACACTGGGATATATTTGTAAACAAGGCAGCCTGGTATCCTGCCTCCACACAACTTCATATCTATCAGAGTAGACAGACAATAAAACAAGTTATCACCCCAAACGTGTTATGGGTGTCAAGGCTCACAGCATGAAGATCCTTATAACCTGCTGATTCCTAATGTGTGAGGGCAAGATCCCAAATAGATTTCTACATGTCACATATCTAAAATTCTAAAGTTATAAATCAAGCTTACAAACTCAAAATATCTTCTAACCTTTGATATTGACAAATGTGCTTCCTTTACAACCTGGAAGTCTGGGTTTGAATTTAAATTTCTTGACTTCTTGGACTTCTGCTTCAGAACGTGACCGTGCAAAGAAGGATGGAAGCCAGCCCCCAGCCCACTTTTTTTTTTTTTTTTTTTTTTGCGGTACGCGGCCTCTCACTGTTCTGGCCTCTCCTGTGGCAGAGCACAGGCTCTGGACGCGCAGGCTCAGCGGCCATGGCTCACGGGCCCAGCCACTCCGCGGCATGTGGGATCCTCCCGGACCGGGGCACGAACCCGTGTCCCCTGCATCGGCAGGCGGACTCTCAACCACTGCGCCACCAGGGAAGCCCCCAGCCCACTTTTTGTTCCCCTTCTCTTCCCTGTCCTGGCTCCACCCCACTCACCCCCAAAGCTCTATTCACATCCCTCTACCCTCCGCAAGAGATGCCCTTTGGCCATTGCTCAGGCCTAAAGTGTGCAAAACTGTGGCATCATGTGCCCCCAGGAAAACAGACCCAGAAAAGAAGCCTGGAAAGAAGCCCTGGAAGCAGTCTTGGCCATTTGAACAGGGAATCCCAGAGCCCTGGTACCCAGAGCTGGGTCTAGGAGCACAGGTTCCAGTGAGCATGACCCCTTGGCTCCATGGACTTCCCATGGGGAGGAGTGCAGCAGAAGAGAGCCAGAGTCAGGTCCTCTAAAGGGCAGGGTCGCGAATTCCTTGGCGGTCCAGTGGTTAGGACTCCAAGCTTTCATTGCCAAGGGCCTGCATTCAATCCCTGGCTGGGGAACTAAGATCCCACAAGCTCTGCAGTGCAGGAAAAAAAAAAGAAAGGGCAGGGTCCCTTCTTGCCCAAGTCTAACTTAGTCAATTTTACTCTTTGCCATTATTCCTGGTGACTTCAACATCCACACATTTAGTACCCTGACCCCAGAGTCCCTCCACATTCTTAACTAGACCAGGTTTCTACCACTTGAAACCCCACCAGGCCTTCCGAAGTCCTTCATCTCTTGGAAATGACTGTCTCCAGTGACTCAAATTTGGGGCTTGTCACCGTTAGCCACCATCTCCTCTTTTCCCTCACTCTAGTCTTTGCCTTTGTCCCAAAACTTCTGACAACTCTTCTTTCAAATGGATTTCTTTTCCAAACATACTTTGAGTGTCCACCATCTACCAAACATTGTATTCATCAGGCACTTACATTAAAGAGCAGGGGGGTGGGAAGCAGAGCAGAGACAGGAAGGAAGGCCCCTCTGCCTGGGTAGTCAGTCAAACTTTTCCTCTTCCTCTGACTCACTACCCACCTTCCCAGTGGACAGTCAGGTGACAATTCACAGAAGGCAACACAAACACAACAGATCCAAGAAGGAGCTCAAGATTCTCCCCCTAGGGCAACTCCTTCTGCAAATCCACCAACTCTGCTCATGGCATAAACATTCTTTCAGGGACTCCACTCAAAGCTAACCATCTTTACTCCCTGCCTTTTTCAACTCCTTCACCTAGTCACCATGTCAGTTCACCATTCAATACTTCTTGAATCCAGCTCTTCCTCCCCCAATACCTCCTAACAGGTTCCCCTGCCTCCCCCATCCTCTCCACAACAGTCTGACTCACTTCCCAGATCTTCCTGATTTTACCTCTTCTCCCAGTATTCAGTACACTCCTCTCCCTCTGTGACTGTCAAATCATTTCTCAACTCCTCAGTCTAGTGGTTAAGACCACGTGTGATGCAGTCATACTGCAGTATACTTTTCTCTCTTCTGACTCCCCTACACATAGCTTATGCTTCAGCTAACATGTTCTACTCACCCTTTCCCAAGTATGTCTTAATCTTTCAAGCTTTCACATCTTTGCTTTTTCACTTACCTAGAAGGCCCTGGCCTATCTCTGCCTGTCAAATTTGGTCCCTCTTTAAAGACTCAGCCTAAGAGGTCACTTCTCCCTGAAGCTTTCCCAGCATGGTACAGTGGAGAGAACTTCAGAATCTGAAAACTCAGACCGTAGGGCGGACTACCTACCAGAGCAAGCTAGGCAAGTCACTTTACCTTCCCTGAATCATCTTCTCATCTACAAATGAGGATTCTGAATCGTCGGTTTTCGTAAGAAGTTCTAAAATGCATGCAGAAGTGCTTTGAAATTGCTATGTTCATCCTAGTTATTTCTCTTTCCAACCAGGACCCATATCTTTCTCTGATCCTCAGAAGAGCTTACCTACTGTTCCATATTGCTGCAACTTGTGTTGAGTCTTGTCTCTCTCACTCACCTGGAAACCCTTAAAATGGCTTGTACATATTTGTGTTCCCCAGCCGAGAATAACTGGATCTCATGCATTTTCTGAATGAATAAATGAATTAACAAGTGAATGAATGGACTCCTTCCCCATGGTCAGATCAAAAAATGTCAAGTAACTCTTTCATGGTCACGAGGAAACAGGGTCTAGGCAATTTGATTCCAGGGCCCACATTGGTAATTTGTTTTTCTGAGTGTAGATGCACAGAGAGATGGGGACAGGAGTAGTTCCACAGCCTGGAGTTGGGGCATCTGCAGGGTCTGGCCAGCTTACCCGTCTCCTGCAGGACCCTTGCCTCTGAGAGCCATGTGCCTTGTTCTGGCCCACAACACATGGAGACACTGCCTTCATCGAGTATAAATGAAAGGGTTTCCACAGGACACTGAAGTTATAGTCAATTGTTAGAAAAAAAAAAAGTCTAGGTAGACTGGTTACCAAGGAAAGAATTAAAGAAGTGTGAAAAGTTAGTCTCTAGTGAAAAGAGATTT